CCATACAGCGTTTCTTCGCCAGAGGTGGTTTATTTGATATAAATATTCATATATTTACATTATGTTATCTTAATTAAATTGCTATATTTGCATAAAATTTATTACTCTCTCCATAATCTATTTCTTTTAAAATATTCAGTAATTCTCTGTTTAACAGAATTTGTACTCGTGTTAAAATCAATTGAATAAGTATCACAGATTGGAATAGGGACATAATGAATAATTCTTATTTTATGATTTTTTACAATTATTTCGTATGAACTAATTGTTTTTCATAGGGTGATTGGTTGTGGGTAAATTCGTATTATTTCAATACTCCAATGAAACAGTATTAGTAGTAGAACGACTTTCAACCATTTTGTAAATCGATGAGAATCGATTTGAAACAACACTCTAAATGACTAGGCAAGCGAACGAGTTAAATCATTTCTTTATTTTAAAGAAAAGATTTTGAGGCGACTGCGGATTCGAACCACAGGTCTTTGGATTGCCGGTCCACCACAACGCTGTGAAGCACAATGTTATTATATTCAACAGATCCAAAACCTTTGAGAGTTCTGTTTTTCCCTATCGGAAGTTCACTAACATGAATCATTAATGACGTTTGAAATGCCATTTTTGACGAATACCATTTCCAATATTTGGGTAAACCTTGTGACGAAATCATTTAATCAAACTTCCAAACTCTACCGTATAGATGCCGCTAGAGCATCATTTGCTGAATATCTTCCATTTACGATTCATGTTGTTGGTCCACCAATCCAATATTGAAAGAATATATATACAAACACCGCAGTGACGATGTTGTTATAAAGATGTCAACGAACAATAACCTTGTTCGTTCGTTCGTTTGAAAATTATTAAAAAATTTACGAACGTTCGTTCGTTTGTTCGACAAATTTTTCTCGAACGAACGAACATGAACACCCTTGTGTTCGGAAACAACTGAAAAATTCGAACATTCGGAAAAAATCCGAACACACGAACAATTTTCGTGTGTTCGAATTTTTTTTATGAATTTCGAACGTTCGATTTTTCTAAAATCAAATTGTTATTAATCCATAAGCAAGAGATGTAAAATCAGTTCGTTTTTTCAATTTGATTTGTTTTTCCTTAAAAAAAAAAATCTTTTGAGAATTGGAACCTTCAATTTTTTTCTAACAAAATCGAACGTTCGAAATTTATAAAAAAAAATCGAACACACGAAAATTGTTTGTGTGTTCGGATTTTTTCTGAACGTTCGAATTTTTCAGTTGTTTCCGAACACAAGGGTGTTCGTGTTCGTTTGTTCGAGAAAAATTTGTCGAACAAACGAACGAACGTTCGTAAAATTTTTAATAATTTTCGAACGAACGAACGAACATTTTGAGCATTTTTTTTGTTCGTTCGTGTTCGTTTGACACCTTTATGTTGTTATTGAGACGAATCATTTCACAACCGTGTTTATGACAAACAAGCAAATTTCGGCTGTGTGAAGTGATGCTTGTTTTGTTATTGGAACAAAACACTTTTCTCTTTATGTCTCACTTTCTCTTATGCATTCATGTTTAAGCATTTCAGCGGCAAATTCTTCTCCATTTATGCCTTTCGTGTCTCTTTCTCAACTATGTTTCCCAAACACACACACACACACACACGTTTCAAACACAGACAATGAGTCTATCGCGCACTTGTTTTCATTTCATTGTTCTTACTGTGTGCGTGTGTAGCTCTCCGCTCGGCCTGTGTGTTCTAACTGTGTGTGTATGTAACATGCACTATGGCTGTGTTGCGCACTGGCTTTGCTGAACAAGCAATAGGCAAACGGTTTGCGATACGCAAAGTGAGGCGAACGTCTGTATGTATTGATTTGTATTTGATACACACAGTTCAATCACAATTCTGAATATTTTGTGCTCAGGCGCTTCTGTGTACGTTTTGGTTGTTGTGTGCTCGTGTTGAACATTGTTAGGTTGGCAGAACTGTGCTTGCTTTTCAGCATTATTTACAAGTGTCATTCCGGCAATGAACAAACCTAGTGTATGTACAATATTAGCATTATAATTTATATGCTAAAGAGGAGCACATCACTATACAAATTATTTCAAAACTACTTCCATACTACTTCAATATTACTTTCTATTACCTAGCCTATTTAGTAAGCAAATTACAAATAACTTTTTACCAAAAGTCTCTTATGTATGACAATGAATTTAACTAACATATTTTTTCAGTGTACCGATGTATTACGATGTGACAGCGAAACCACAAATTACTTTAATACTAAAAGTAATTTGTTGCTCAAAATTACTTACATATTATTTTCATTTTTCTACTCTATTAGAAATTACTTTCAAGTTATTTGCCCCTCGGTTATAGTAGTCTTTCTTGATTGGAATAAGGATTTGGTCCATAAACATTTTAATACAAAATAAAACGAATTACATACGTAATCCAAACTTTTCCGCTCCGTAGCAATTTATTTTACCTCCCGCCTAATGTTTAACCAAAATTTCAATGGAAGATTTTTTCATGGCACTTTTGACCTTGAAAAATAACTATTTCGACCATTTTTCATATAAAAGTGTCATTTTCGAACGGAATTTCAAAAATTTCAAGAAATGTCGAATTTGGACCAAAAAACCTTTTTCATTTTCACCGTCGCTGTTTGACTGTCACTCAAACGTCAAAAACAACACACATATACAATGACAGCCATTTGTCAAGTCATTATGCGTCGATAAAACATTCACCACTTCTCTGTGTGGTGGAGTGTGCAGACGGCAAACAAATGTTATATGATCACATATGGAAACATTGAAAAATGGCTTTCTGAGTGATTTTTCATACAAAAGTGTAATTTTAGGGGAAAATTTTAAAAAATGTCGATTTCAGGCCAAATTTATGGGCAAGTAGGTGTTCGGTTGTTCACAGACCCCCATAGTTTTTGTAAAAAAATGACAGTTTGCTTTGATCAAAACCCTAAAAAAATGCCTTTTTCGAGTGATTCTCATAGAAATGTACCATCTTTCGAGTTTTTTCTTAGGGGAGGTATCCGAGAGGGACGTCAGATTGGGCTCAAATTTGATGGGTTTCTAAGTCTCAACATGCCAAAACTTTTGGTGTTTACAGATCTCAATTATCTTGTGAACTTTTTGAGTTATCGTGCTAACAAAAAACGTGGACGCAAACGCGGACGACGCCATACAAACATTGCATTTTTCCAAATTTTTCATAGTAAACAAAGTATTTTCGGGGGCAGATAGGTCTTGATCGATAGGTTTTGTTCCCATCTACATTGCCTAGTTTACAGTTATGAGCTGTTTGAAGTCTTTCGTGGAGTTTTTGTGGTTGGGAAGTGAAAGAGTCATGAAATGTTGGCCACCAAAACCAATACTTTACCTAGCAAACGAAGTTTGCGGAAAAGTAATAACCTAACCAATACATGGAAATGATTAAGAAGCCGAATTGTAAACGGTTCGTAAAGCCTAAAAACACGTTCAATTTTCCAAAAAAAAAGATAGGCCATCTGAAGCGTTAACATTGTAGTGACAGCCTTAATGACTGCAAAAGTCATCATTCAATTTATCAAAGAAGTGATAAATTGAAGAAAAGTTTTACGTCTAATCTAACAAGTCCCTGTTGGTAGTTATGGATTTAGGATTTAATAGAGACCGAAAGACATAAAAAATATACTGAGTTTCGCAAATACATTGACACAGGTCAATCTAGACTCATTTGAGAAGTAGGTTGCGTATGGGATTCATAGGTGCGCCATCCTTTGCCGTGCTTTTGAACTCTTGTGTATTCCATTGACTTCAATGATTTATTTCATTATTTGGGAAAGATGTGGCGCCACGCTGTATTCTCATGCTTTATTCGTAAAGTTTTAGAAAAAAGTTCATACGCTGACATCAATGTATTTATATTGGCTGTATGGTCCCATTGCAATAGTTAGTTTCCATTATAAAGTAATAACAGGTCAAAATTTAATCATCAACTCAAAGGATGGCTATATCACAGTAAATGTTGCTAATTTAATCAAAGTTTGTGTAAATCACAGATAAATATGGTTATTCCTATACATATTTATAGGGATAATAATTTGTCAATACATTTTAAATTAAATTTTTGGTTTCGTTCGCTGCATACCGACGAGATGAAGTTTGCACGGATGGTGGAATTTTTGAATTGATCAGCCACTTTGTTTGCATATTTGCACATTTGAGGCGATTGCGCTCTGATTAGCTTGTCTATGAGCTTGTCTTTGATCTTGAGGTAGTAAGTGTGCGTAAGATACGTACGCTCTTTCCAATTTCGATATCGTTGCGTACATTGGGACAATTTGCGTTCCCATTGACGACATCGTACATGAACACAATTGATGCATTCACTCTCCTACGCTCCAACGATATCATGTTCAACAAGTTTAAACCTCGGTGGTATGATATGAATTTTGACTTCTTGACATTCAATTTCAGCTGATTACTTTGGAAGTATTTCACAATTTAGATCAGCTTGTAAGGCTAAGCAATCATCATAGTCTTGAATGTGTTTCCATAGTCATGTATAATCAGCAATAGTAACACTGAGTCGATTGTATGATGGGGCAGATCAATGATAAATAGGAGAAACAATGTTTCACCTATTGGGTATCCCTGTCCAGTTCCCGAAGTATTTTCAATGGGATTCGATATTGCTAGTGATATCAGAAGAAAAACCTCTAGATGAGGTTAAAATGGAGTGACGCTCCTGTGCGTGGATTTACCACTCAAAAATACTGATATCATTTTGAGCGACGCTAGGGCGCTGTATACTCTCTGGATACGAAGTTCAAAAGTCTTTTCCGCATTCACTATGTAAAAACTTATTTACAATAAGGGAAAATATCGCGTCACGACTTTTGAATTTAGTTTGCAAGTTAAGCTTTAAAGCGTTTTGCCGTGTAAAAGTCGGTGTTGCTTTGTCTCAGATTTTATATTCTTACTGATTCATATATTCTCTTATGTGTTCATTTTCAGTTGTTAAAAATGATGGCTCTAATTCTAATGTTCAGAATCAAAACGATACGTCATCTGTTCAAAAAATCATCACTTCCAAACGACAATTGCTTACAAATAGTACACCAAAACTGGTTCGGACGTCAAATTTACAACAGCTATTGAACCAAGGCACACAAAAATTTTTAATAAACCATGCCAATTCACCAAATAAAATCATCATTTCATCAGGAGCAAATACTCAAGTAACGACACAGGAATCGAAATCTGTCACAACCCAACAAGCTCTCGTTCAGAATTCCACATCATCACAGCTCCTTCAGTCACCGCAACCGTTAGTAGTCAGCCAAGCAGCACAGAAGCATATACAACAGCAAGAATATGTAAACCCAACGAATCAACAACAACAAATAATTTTCCATGGGCAGCGGTTCGTCCTTAATCCTGGCCAAAGGATTCAAGTTACTCAACAGCCTACACAAGTGGTACAACAAATTGTACAGCAACCAGTTGTGCAGCAAATATCACAAGTAAATCTTTAAATTGTGTAATTGGAAATTCAAATGAGTTGGTTAGAATTAGGAGACTGAGAAACGTAACCTAAAAAGAACGTACATAGATAATTGTCATACTAATTTGAAATGGAAAAAACGGACAAATGTCCGTTTGTCCCAAATCAATAAAAGGACGGACGGATGGACGGGCAAGAAAGACGGACAGTCCGTCCTTTTGACACCTTTATACATCTAGACAACAAAGGAAAATCATGATATATTACTGTTACTAAATAATTCATGTTTCACTTTAGACCATAGATTCTGACAACAAATATTTGGTCAAACCAAAAATCCCTTTGGGGGGCAAAAAAATCAATTCTATCTAGTGTAAAATCGGTTTCGAAAAGTGAGGAGCAAAAACAGGTCTCCTCACTTTTTGAAAAGTCGCAAAATAACAATGCGTCAAATTTTGCCAGCAGGGGTCAAGATCAACGAGATCAGACTATGTCAGAATCTATGCTTTGGGCTACGTTTTCTAAGTTGAAAAGTTCAATTAAGCCCTTTTCGTAACCTAACTATTTCTAGCTACACAACTATCATGTTATGATATATCAACAGAGACTTTAATTAAAATATTTTCTTTATCAAATAGCCACAGATTGTCCAAACAGTACAACAACAACCGACACAGCCTCAACAAATCATAATTCAACGTCCACCTCAAACCATAAGTCAAGTGCAGTTGGTTCAGTCTCCATCTTCAGTGGCTAATAATCAGCAACAAATTCTGGTGGGGAATTCTTTAAGCCAAATGTTGGCACAAGGAAAAGTTCAAGTAGCAACAGTTGCTGGTGGACAACAAGTAATTATTAGGTATGATAAATCTACATATTTTAAAAGAGAAACAAATAATAAATGAAATGTTTTATCGCAGGCCAATTGGAAATAATCAATGGCATATCGTTGCTCATTTAAAAGCACAGCCGGATGGTACAATGCAAATCGTTCCAACGAACAACCAAATTGTTCAACAGGTCTCTCAATCCGAGCAAATGGAAACACAACAAAAACTTCTGCAAACTAAGCAAATTCAAACCGTACCACAACAACAAAAATTAGTAATCCAACCACAGTCTTCAATAAATCAACCAAATCAGGCAGTCTTATCACCGTCAATTGAAAAATCGTTACTACAGGGACAACCTCCAGGCACGATTATCAAGTGTGTTACAGCAGAAGTGACAAAAAATCAAAATGGTCCATGTATTAAACTAACTGGGATACAAGGCAGTGAGTTAACTGAGCACCAAATGAGTTTAGTTCATCAACAAGTAAAACAACAATTAGTGAAAAAAGGTAAACAATTTTGAATAGGTGTGTTGCGTTTAGTGGTTGTTTTTCGATGAATAGACGTAAATTTGATTTGGAAAGGAAATTTGATTTGGAAAGAATACAGTTTTTGAAGCGTACTGCGCTAAAAGCCTATATAAACAATATATATTTAACGATATTTGAGTCGATGTAAATGAAGATGTGGCAGCGCCACCTATATAGATTCCTTATTAGAATAGGTGGAACTATTGAGTGCGTGCACCATATCGCACGTGAATTTTCAATATGGCCATAGAATTGAAACGTTAAACAATTTCGTAGTCACGAAATATCACCGTACGTTTTGAACAGAGTTGTAAAAGTGCAATTACAAAATTTGTAAGGTTTCGTGGAAGCCGTTGATAAAACGACTAAAAAAACATACAAAAAATATACGGATTTTGATGAAAATTGTCACAGACATATTTTAGGAGATAAATTTTAATATCCACCAAGTTTCAAGTCGATGCGACCTTCCAGAGCTGAGGAATTGCCGATGGAAAAAATGTAATTAAAAAAAAGCAATCATTGCGTGTAATCATTACTTTTTTTTAATTACATTTTTTCCAT